AGCCAGAGTACGCCCGGAGCCTGTGACCGACAGGCTGGCACCAGCCTCTGGAGCTCCAGCTCTTTCCAGCCCTGGGGTGGGGGGGGGGACTTGGCACCAGCCCCTGCCGTGGCCCCCGCCCTGCCGGACCCCAGGAAGGGGTTGTGGATCCAGCAGTGCTGACGGCCGGCCGCCTTCTCCAATCAGACACAAGTCCTCCGAGGCCCACGGCCGGACTCTGGGCAGCCTTGGCCCAGCCTGCGGTTTTTGGCAGGGAGCTTGGCGGCCACCCAGAGGCGGGTGTGACCCAGAGCCAGACTTGCCTGGACCGCTCCTTGGCCCTCGCTCTGTGGCAGCCACCCCTCAGTCTCTGCCCCAGGGGCTCTGGTGGGTGAGCCAGGCAGGTTGGGCATACTGTGTGCCCAGGGCTTGGTGGGCACCAGGAGGTGAATCAGCTGGCAGAGCCAAACCCATTTCTCTTCATTGTGCACACTCTGGACGCCTTGGGCAGGGGCTGGAGATGACTTAGGGGAGGGGTTGGCGAGAAAGCGCCCCCAGGGTCATTCCTGGGGACACTGAGGGAGGGGGGGCTTTTTCTACAGGAGAGCCAAGGGGTGGGGAGACTGCAGGGGACAGGTTGTTCCAGGCAGTGGGAACAGTGCATACAAATGCTACCCAGAGAAGGCAGGCAGCCCTGGGGCCACTCGGGGAGTGCAGGGGCGGTGGGCACAGGGCGCCCCATCTCCTTCCTTAGGATGAGGAGCCCCGGCTCTCGGCTCTCGGGGGCGCTGAGTTCCTTACCCCAAAACTTTCACTATCACAAGCGGGCTTTCAGACCTCTTGAGCCGGGTGCCTCAACAAGATCTGTTTCTGTGGGGCACACAGGGTTTGCAATGGGGTTGGCGGTTTGAATCCCAGTGGCTCTGTAGGAGCAAGCCCTGCCATCTGCTTCTGTCACATGACAGCCAGGAGCTCCCAGTGAGCAGTGCTTCTCTGAGATACATGTGGCCCCCACGGGTGGGCGGTGGCACCGACGGGAGGGTAGCGGGAGGGTTTTAGCCCCTGTAATCTCCACCAGCAGCACCCAGACCTCAAACAACAGTGAGCCCGGGCCTGGGAAGAAAAGCACTTCTTGCTATCACATCACGATGCACCGCTGCACTCTCGCTGGCCGAGTGGAGCTGCAGGGGCTGAATTAGGAGCCCCGGTGGCGTGGTGAGCTGCACACAGAGCCACTAAGCACAGCAGAGTCAGTGGTTCGAGCCCCCAGTGGCTCCCTGGGAGAACGCCGAGGCAGTCTGCTCCCATCAAGATGTAAAAGTCTCAGAGACCCTGGAGGGTGGTGGTCCTCTGCCCTATGGGGTCGCTGTTGACTCGATGGCAGTGGGTTTGGTTTGGGGTGGTAGCCAATGGCCAGGCGGGGTGGAATTCTTCATTTCCACGTGGGAGGTGTGGCTGACACTTGGCCCATTACACTTTGTGCACGGCCGCCTTGAGTCCATCAGTAGAGGCTCTCGAGTGACTCTGGTGTTTGTTTCCGTGGACCGTCCAGTACTGACGGGCTAGGAAGAAAGGCCTGGTGATCTACTCCCCCCCAAAATGGCCAATGAAAACTCTCCGAATCACAATAGTCCCAACTGCAAGCAGTCGTGCGGAGATGCAGGACTGGACCCGCTTCGTCCCATTGCGTTTGAGGGCGCCCGGAGCTGGGGCTGGGGTCACAGCATCTAAAATCAGTCACCTAGGGGAGGTATGGTCTGAGTCAGACGGGGCTGCTCTGCGGAGACAGGTGCCCGGGCTTCCCAGCAGACAGCGCCGGAAGCCTGTTCTCCGTGGAGCCTGGGGGCAGTGACCGCAGCCCTCTCTTGGGTCTGTAATCTGTCCGTGTTGCATACAGTACAGCAATGAACAAGCTCCTGGATTATTGGTGATTTCCTACTGTAGCTAGAACAAATGGCCACAAACCCCGTGGATCCAACCACACCCATTTAATACCTTACAATTAAAGGACTGAGATCAAGGGTTGGCAGGGCTGGCTCTGCCCAGAGAGGCTCCAGGAGATATCTGATTGCACACCTGTCCCAGCTTCTAGAGGCCGGCTTTTATCCTCGCCTCGGGGCCCCTTCCTCCAGCTTCAGAGCACATCGCCCCAACCTCTGCTTCTGGCCCCACATCGCCTTTTTCTGACTGGCCCTCCTGCCCCCCTCCCATAAAACCCATGTGACTCTATGGGGGTCCACCTAGGTAGTCCAGGGCCATCTCCTCATCTCAAGAGTCTTTACTTAACCAGAGTCCCCTTTGCCAGCTCAGGTCCCCTGGTCACAGGTCCTGGGGACGAAAAGCATCAATTTCAGCTACAAAGAGAGTGCTGGTATGGTGCACGCCCAGCAGGTGCCCGGCATCATGCTAGTGTCCTTTATAAACAGTGGGCATACAATCCTCACCATCCAACCCAACTCACTGCCGTGGAGTCGGTGCTCACAGTGACCCTGCAGGGCGCCCGAGGGATTTCGAGACTGTCACTCTTTACGGGAGTAGAAAGCCCCATCTTTCTCCTGCAGAGCGGCTGGTGGTTTCAAACTGCTGACCTTGTGGATTGCAGCCCAACTTGTGACCACTATGCCCACAGGGCTCCTTCCTCACCATCAGACGCTGGTACTTTCGCTTTCTCAGTAAGGACGGTGACGCTTAGAGAGGTCCCGTGAGTTGCCTAAACGCACACAGCTTGGGAACAGCCAGGATTTCAGCGCAGAGTCCGATGACAGCAAATCCTATGTGTGCCATGGATTGATTCTTCGTTGTTGCCCCTGGAGTTCGCGGTGACATACACACCGGGGCTCCAAAAAGTTTTAGGGGTAATGGAACTCAAAACTGATGGAACTTTACACAAACTTTTTTTAATGACTTAGGACTTCACACATACATCACTGCAAATTTCAGCCATGTCAAGTGGAATGTACAATTGTTACGACAATCAGTTTCCTACCATTTTTTTTCAACATAGTCTCCTTGACATTGTCTCCTTTTTACCCCACCTCCACCGCTGTGCCCTGCGCCCCCGAACCCCTCATTCTACTTGCTGTCCCTATAGGTTTGTTGATCCTGGGTTTCGTACATGGAAAAACAGAGAAGCATATAACACAACTTCAAGAGGGTGACCTCCATTGACACAACACCTCTGAGAGGCACTCTACTAACCAAACCATACAAGCCAAAAACACAAAAAACAAAGCAAACATTTTGAAACCGTGTGTGTGTGTGTGTGTGTGTGTGTGCACTACTAATATTAAGAGTACCGCTTGCTGCCTTTCACCTTCTTTGTTCACCGAGTAGCCACCACCCAGGTGGAGAAACAGTTCCAGAAGGTTCCTTCATGCACCTGCCTAGGCCATCCCCTCCGCCCCCAGATGACTGCTCTTCCCCGTTGGCTCGTTTCCGGAGATGAAGACGTAGTTGAAGCCACTTGTTTCTCGGAGGCGAGAAAGAAGGCAGGAGGAGCTGGGCAGTCTGAGAGGGGACGGTCACCCCAGAAGTGAGGCCCTCTGCTGACCAGAGGAGATGAGGCAGAGGGGAGACAGGGACAGGGAAGAACGCAAGGAGCCTTGTCTGCCCAGGGAGGTGACGTGAGGAAAGCGTAGAAAAACCCTCTAAACTGGTAAAACGCCCAGGCTTGCTGGTCAGACTGAGTCTGGTGGAACTCCTGAGACTATGGCCCTTGGACACCCTTCCAGCCGGAACGGAAGCCCCCAAGCTGCCTGCCCACCCTGCTCCCCTTTCCGTGGGCACGACAGACAAGCCTATAAAGTGCCAGCACTGTCAGGGTGGGTACACCCTTCAGAGCAGCCAGCCACCCCAGATCCAAAGGGCAGCATCTGCCCAGGAGTAATGCTCACTCCGGCGGCAG